GCAGCACCTATGCCACACCGTGCGGGATCATGGATCGCAGAGCGGACTTCTGGGAGAACATCTGGTCCGACCCCAGTTCCGACCACAAGAGTATCCTCGACGGCCTCAAGTATGTCACGGAGCAAGCCAAGAGGGAGGACGTGCACCCGATCGAGCTGGAGCACCTGGACCACCTGCTGGCGAAGCAGAACCCGAAGAAGGCCAGAGGAACCGACAACCTCGGCCCGCTGGAGGTGCAACGACTCCCAGAGCCAGGACGTAGGCAAATGGTGGAGGTCCTCAATCTTTGCGAGAACCACCTCATGTGGCCCCATCAGATATTCACGGTCATAGGTGCGGTCGCCCCCAAGCCCAAGGGGGGCGACAGGATCCTGGGACTGCTTCCTTACACGGTGAAGGTTTGGTCCAAGCTCCGCTACCCGTTGAGTGAGAGGTGGAGTGACAAGCTGGGCGAATTCTGGGACACGGCCATCAAAGGGAGCAGCCCGCTGCAAGCCTCGCTGGCGAGAGCCTGCATGGACGAGCGCTGCTTCACCATGGGCATCAGTTGTGCGACAATCCTTCTAGATCTGGAGAAGTTCTACGACAGCATCTCCATCGCAAAGCTCTGCCAAGCTGGACTCAGGCAGGGCTTCCCCGCAGTCATCCTCGCGATGGAACTACAGATATTTCTTGCCCCCAGGTACCTCAAGGAGCGCCAGTGGATCAGTAGGCCGATCAAGATCGAGAAGTCACTGGTGGCAGGATCTCCACACGGCGGCAAATTAGCAAAGGTACTATTGGGCCCTATCCTCCAGCGGGCTCATGACAAGCACCAGTTCAACATCATGTTGAAGACATTCGTTGACGACACGATCATTCGCAGCGAGGGCACGGCCTACAACGTTGAGACCACATTGGTCCAAGCTGGCGCCTCCATCGGCCATGACATGCAACACGAGGGCCTCACGATCAGCCCCAAGACGGTCGTTGTCGCCAGCACGAGCAGCATCGCCAACAAAGTGGCCCGAGCACTTCGGAGAAAGGGCATTCGGGCAACCTCAGCACAGGCCGCCACAGACTTGGGGGCCGACGTCGCTTCAGGACGGGCTCGCGCCAGGGCCACAGCACGAAGGAGAATGACGAAGGCTAGCAGACGGTCGGCAGCCATTCACAGAATCAGGAGAATCGCCCGATTAAACAGATAATCACAAGGTCTTTGGAGTACTGGTGCCATGCCGTCTGGGACTTACTCACATCAGCATCGCGGGCTCCCTGAATATGAAGTGCTGCGCCTCCGACGCCAAGCTGCTGCTGCCGCGTCTGGCGTGGGACCAGGAAGATGCTTGACGTCGGCGCTGGCCATCGAGTACGGGGACGACGACCCTGCCAAGCGCATCAGGCGTCAGCAGATCGCAGCGTGGCTGACCATGTGGCGCCAGTGCCCAGGCATCCACGACAGGATTCGGCAATCCTGGGACAAGATCCTCGACCGCATACGAAAGGCTGGCCAACGCAAGTGGAGGATCGTCCGTGGCCCAGCGGGGGCAACTATTGCCACCCTCCTCGAGATCAACTGGGACCCGATCGCGGCGACCCAGTGGGACACGGACGCAGGTAAGAGCTGGCTCATTCTTGCAAGAGAAAACGAGGACTTCAAGAAGTTGAATGCGGACTACTCGGAAATCTTCAACGACATCAACAGCTCAGCGGACAGAGTTCTCTGGACTCGGGCTTCGAAGCACGAAGCAGGTGATGACCTACACAGTGGAGGCGACTTCAGCATGATCAAGCAGGAGAACCGCCGACTCGCCAGGAGGGAGCAGTATAGTGAGATCGCACTTAACACGGTGGTCACGACAGGTGGCCAGTGGACACGTACGCGAACGTTGGCCGCAGGATACGAGGCTATCCCCCACATGCCCGAGGTGTGGAGAACAGGGGGAGTCGCTTTTCCACAGAATATGGACATGTGCGGCCAACTGCAACCACGACGACTACACGGACAGCGAATTCCTCACCGCACAGGCGTTCGCCAACTACGAGGCCTCTCCGTCCCTCTGGCTTCGAGGCGCCCCTGCGGTCGCCGACGCCATACCAGTCTTCGACGAGACCCCACCCATCACGAACAGTTTCGGAGATCGGTCGACAATCCCACGTGATGAGGAGGGGTTCGCTGAGATTTTTGGAGATGGGTCGGGCGGTGAGCATAGCAGTGACTGGCGTCGCAGACGCGCTGGTTTCGGATTTGTTTCCCTTTCCTCTGGCAGCCTGGACCCGATGTTCGGTTTTTCGTCTTCCCTTGGTGGGAGGGTCCAGACGGTCCCAAGGGCCGAGCTCTCTGCCTGTCTCGCCGCCTTAGAACAGATCCCAGGGGACATCCGATATATGACGGACCACCTGGCCCTGGCCCAGGCCTGGTCCAAAGGAGTCCCGCTCCTCCTCGCTTCCTCGACCCCTCCTGCGAACCTCGACTTTTGGACCAGGATCCTGGAGGCAGCAGGAGACAAAGTAATTCGTGTAATTTGGATCCCTGCCCATGTCGAGGCTAGGGATGTTAATTCCGAGGAAGCGTTTCGATATGCTGTTGGCAACGCGTGTGCCGACGCACTCGCGGGCCTAGGCGCCCAAGCGAGCAGGCGCTGCGGCCTCACGAATCCCGACACCGACCGCCGCGATGCCGAGGCTGCCCTGGTCAGGCGTCGAGCTCGGAGAGCTCTGGTTGCGAGCATCCTGGCCGATCCGTGGACCGCGTCTCGACCCGAGGCCCCAGGGGCCCTGCGGCTTCCCATCCTGACCAGGAGTCTTCGTGCCAGCGAGCATCAGTGGCGGAAGGTGGGTTCTAAGTTTTTCTGTTTGGTTTGCTCCCAGTTCGAGACCAGGGAGTCCATCCGCTCTGGGAGCCTCTCGAGGTGTTGCCCCAAGCCCCGTGGCCAGGGCATCTCACCGCTCCACGGCCCACAGACTGTCGCGGGGAAGTTGCTGTGCGCGAGCCACAAGCTTTCCTTCTGGCGCCGTTTTGGTTTAACGTTTTGCACAGTGTGTGGCAAGACCGCCACGTCCGACCCAAGGTGGTTGGTGGAAAGATGCAGGGCCTCCCCCAAGGGTGCGCAAAATCTCGCGAGGATCGCCCGAGGTTTATACCCGCACGTTGGGGGGCCCCCGCAGCACGTCCGTGATGCAGAGATCTCACAATTCGCTTACTAACTCGTCTGGTTTTGCCCAGTTTCGAGGGCCCCGCTGGTGGCGTAAATGGCAAAGTGATGCGACGCCCTTCGGGAGGCCGAGAAAAGATCACGAGCGCCATCCAGCGGGGTCCTGATTATAATAGGCGTCGACTGTCGTTGTCGCCCGTCATGCATAGTCCTGCATAGTCCTCCTCCTCCTTCTCCTCCTCCTCCTCCTCCTCCTGCTCCTCCTCCTCCGCCTTCTCCTCATCCTGCCCCACGCGTGGGCACTGGGTACCCCACCCTGGTACTCGCGCGGCCCCATGTCTGCAGCAGCCGCTTGGCCGGGCCTCTCACGGCCTGCCTGCCCCTCTTGGTGCCAGCGTGCGCGCGGGGCTTTTGCGCGTGAAGCGCTCCGGAGAGGGCCTCGACGTCGAGGATCGCAGGAGTGGCGCTCTCGCCCTCGGTAGAAGGCGGTGGCAGGGCCCCAGACCTCCTGGCGTCGTGAAAAAATCACGACGGGAGGTTTTTCGCTATTTTCGGCCTCCGGGGGCCCTCACCGGGCCTCGGGAGCGTCAAAAAACGACTCGGGACGAAGAACCGGTCCCGGGGAGAGGGTCCAGACCTCTGGGGGTCGACGTTGCGAAAACATCACGACGTCGGGGGTCTGGGGCCTTCGTGGGCCCTGGAAACGGCAGGGCCGTTTTTTTGTCACCGGTGCCGTTTTGCCGTTTTTGTTGCCAGTTCCGGCGCCGTTTTTGGACCGGTTCCGTCGCCGTGTTTTGACCGGTTCCGGCTCCGGTTCCGATCCTGGAGCCTTTTTTTTTGCCGTTTCCGGTCGCCGTGTTTTTGCCGTTTCCATTCTCAATGGACGTTGTTTTTGGAAACGGTGAAAACACGGCCTTGCCGTTTCCGGGGCCCACAGAGGGCAGGGCGGCGGAAGTGGATTGAGGCTACTTCCGCTGGCGGAAGCAGGCGGAAGGCCAGCGGAAGCCGGCGGAAGTAGAAATTGGCTTCCCAAGAGATGCCAAGGTTTTGGACGCCCGAAATGGGTACGGAAAGAATGGGCACAATGCCCAACAGCAGTTCCTGTTCATTTTGAACAGGACTCGCTATCGGTGTCGCCGCGGCCTGTGTCCATTCGAGACAGAAGGCCGCCTGCCCAACAGCGGCCGCTGTTGGTTTGGGACAACATTTGCTGTTGGGCATTGTACCCATTTCGGGCGCCGAAAAAAGGTGTTTCGATGTTTTGTGGCTCAGGTTTCTGGAACCCGCCACATGTGGCCACATGTCTTTTCCAACGGTCGACCCTTCTGTGGCCGGGCTTGCTGGCCTTCCGCAGTTGCGCATGTGCATCCAGCGCGTGGCCTCAGGATGTTTCACATGTGCACACAGCCATGTGTGGTTCCAGCTTCCTGGCAGTCTCAAGTCTGCAGCTTGC